AGCATGGTGGGATGTCAGAGAGAGAGAGAGAGAGAAAACGTGAGTGATTGAGTGTGTGAGTGGTGAGAAGTTAATGGTTTTTTTTATTTATTTTAGCTAATCATAGTCACAGATTTTGAGTGGCGTGATATGGTTAAATTTTGACCGTTGACCGGGGGGATGGCGGGAGAGAAGAGCTAGAGAGGATTCGGACTCGTATCCTTGATGTATTTGTTTTTAGATTCATGCTATTCTACCCAGCAATGTTAGGGGTACAAAATATTTATGTTATGTCTCTAAGCTATGGTAGTAACGTTCGCTCGTGTGATTAAGGGTTATTTTGAAAATATAATTAAAAGTTTTTTTTTTTTTTTAAATTTTTAAAAAAACTTATAACAAAATGTGAGAAATTATATGACTTAAAATAAATTAAAAATTTGGAAGTTGTTGGCTATATATTTTGTACAAGCCAGTTACAATTTGACGCGTGTCAAAGTAAGGATAGTATGGGAAGACTATTCAAGTCTTCGATCCTGACCGTACACGTGGTAGTTAGTATTGGTAGTTACGAGATCTGAGTAGCAGTAGATCAAAACAAAAAGATACAAGGTGATGTGGCATCAGTGGTTACTCACATTCAAAATTCAAATTTAGGAGGGAAGCCTAACTGCAGATAATGGCGTAATGGAGCTAATCTTGAGGCAACATGATCAGGGATCATAGAGGAGCAGTTCGACGGTTGAAAATACAATTAGATGGTCATCATTGAGCAGTATAAATAGCAGAAAAGACCCCAGAAAAAACCCCAGACTTAGATCCAAAAAACCAGTCGTATTCTATTTTACTTAGTTTTACATTTTATGTTCTTTAAATTCTGTACTGCATTTCATTTATAGGAGTAGTTTCAAGTAGATTGTCGCTGTAAACCTCTACGAGGCTGAGTTTGAATCATTATAAGTTTTTTCATTCTAATGAAATGCTTTAGTTATTCTTTATTTGATTGATATTTTGCTTAATACTCCTAAATCAATCTACCAGTAAAAGTCCTCTTCATTGAGGCTGAGAGAACTAAAACACAATTGTCTGATAATTGATTGGTAATTAAATTTCTGTAAGGACTGATTGATCTTTACTGGCACGCTCACAATTACAATAATAACTTTCGAAATTCAAAAAGTCAACAAAAGTAACTATTAATTCACTTCTAAAAAAACCCATAATATATATATTACGACGTACCTAACTATACTATTAAAATACACCATTACCTCTTAAACTAATAAATACTAAACACATATAAATAAATCTCAATTTTATTATTTTATATCATATAATACACATTTTAATAAACAAATTTTATCGTGAGAGATGCTCCAATATCATCCCATCATTATGAGTTAGAGTTACCCACACGTGACGATTCCGCTTTAAAATCGCACCATCCAGATAAAAACTCAAATCCTCCTCAAAAAGTGAAGTTCTATCAAAATCACAACTTTAAAACGTGTTGTCTACGAAAAATTGTGAAATGGTTTTGGAATAAATTCTCGTGTTGTCTAATTTGATATTATGCTATTTTAATAATTTTTAAATTTTTATACAATGATTATAATATAATAAAGAGACAAAAAATATATATATATATATATATATATTTTAAAGTTGGTGCAAAACAATCCCTTATTATGGTTGTCTCAATTTATAAATTAAATGTAAACTCAAAAAATGAGTTTACGTTTTCAATTTTCAATTATTTTCATTATTATTTTTTTGTCAAATAATCAATTTATAAATTAAACGTAAACTCAAAAATGAGTTTACGTTTTCAGTTTTCAATTTTTTCCATTATTATTTTTTTGTCAAATAATTTATTTTTTTCAAATATTTTTTCAAATAATTTTTTTCCAATTAATCTTTTTTTCAAATTTTTTTTCCCAATTAATCTCTTTTTTTTTTCAAATATTTTTCCCCCAATTAATTTTTTTCAATTTTTTTTAATTAATTTTCCCATTTTTTCCCCCAATTAACTTTTTTCAATTATAATGTGTCTGATTCCATTGTCATAAATAATAAAAATAAATATAAATATTTTAGACCTAAACGAACATATTTTTTAGTTTATATTTTTAATTTTTTTTAAACATTTTGTTCAAACCAAACGTGTTTGTAATTTATATTTTTCTAAAAATAAACAAAAACCAACTTATAAAAATTTTGTGAACATAAACAAAAAACGTAAATATTACCAAACGCTACCTTGTAAACCAAAAAAATTATCAAACAAGTTTTTATGACAGTTTTTAAAATTTTTGTAAATATAAACTGAAAACTGAATGGTTATCAAACAGGCCCTAAAATTGTAAAATTTAATATTTTTATTCAAATTTTAGATGACACTTGACAAATATAAAATAATAAATGGTATAGAGGCTTCGTTTGCTAAGTTGAGTTAGGGCTAAAACAAGGAAAATGCGTTGGACCCCAGCGGGGTGCTGGGAATCCTTGCTAATTGGTTGGAAAATAAATTTTTTTTTTTTTTTTTACTTACCAGGGGTCTCCAGTATTACTCCTAAAACAACTAATAACTTAAAATATTCAATCATATAACTCTCTCTATTTTTATGTATGTACTTTCAAAAATAAAATAAAATAATAATTATTAAAATAATCTATTTTCAAACACCCTACAATGATACTCTAAAATCATTTATTGGACAAAAAATGTTTGACACCACACTTTCATAATTTGGCCTACAATGAGATAGTATAATAAGTATTAACTTTTAATTGTTACCGTATCAAAAAAACATAAAAAGTCATACAAGTTATCACATCACACACTTATTTTTCTACGTATATTTTGTAAAAATTTTAAAAATAACAATTTAAATAGTTAATTCCCAAACAAGGCCTCAATATAAGGCTTATCTTCCTTACCACATCATTATGGATTTAAATTGTGAGTTTATGGCATTTATCTTCTCGATGCCATGACAAACGATGAAATTACTAATTTACCCCTCAGCCGTCCAACACTTGTTGTGATGTAATCAAAGTAGGATTATAAATGGATTGAGTTTGGAAAATTTGGTCCGATTCGATTAGCTGTTAACTCGAATCTAAACTACTTAAATATGATTTTGAGCAATCCGAATCCAAATATGATTTAAATGGATGTCTGATCTACAACATAATCCGATCCATTTTCCCCAACTAATTTGTGAAGTGTTAATATAGCAGTAAAAATAAACGAAAAAACATATATGCGAAATGTATTGTTTACATAATCAACCTTCAATGTCGAAAATCCTATGACGTAATCTAGATTTGATTTAAGATTTGAGTTTGTTTCGCTGGTACGATTGTTGAAAACCAGTCTTGAGTCATCAGAGCCGAATAAGAAGCTCAATAGTGCTGCCAAAATAGTCTAATCATTAAACTTCTTTTAGCAAAAGAGAGCGAGGAAGAGAAGAGATTAGGCCGATTCATCTTTTATGCCCCCATTGATCTTACTTGCGGTAACTCGATGATGGAATTAATGGTGGACAACAAAAGAGAAATTGCAGATGAGATCGAAATAGTAGAGAAACGTTGAAGAATCTAGGGTTATTATATCCAGGTAATGCATTATAATCGAATTGATGTATTATTAGATTGAATTTGGATTTATCTAAATCTGTCTTGTTTAAAAGCGGATTAGGCAAATTCAAATATAATTGAGAAATCGAATTTGGGTTTAAATAATTGGACTCAATATTTTGAGCCCCCGTTTGGGAAGTGGGTTGGCTTTTTGGCTTTTTGGCTTTTTTGGCTATTTTAGCCTAAGCTAAAAAGCTTAGTTTGGGAAAAGTTTTTTGGTTTTTTGGCTTTTTTAACCTTTTTTTTGTGAGAGAATAGTGTAATGATTATGAGTTAGATGCGATGTTTTGTTTGTTGTGACTAAAATAGCCTATTTTGTCTTTTGTGGTTATTTTAGGCCCAATCTTCCTTGCCAAACGGACCCTGAGTCGAATTCAAATTGAACTTGGTGATGCCTTATCCATGGACAGTCCTAAATTAGAGATGGTGGGTTCATTTGGAAATTTTGTTATTTTAGTTAGGTTAAAAAAATTATATTTCGGATGATAGTTTTTTTTTTTTCTTTTATTTTTTGGGTCATCGATTTGATTGTTATGGTAGAAAAATGAAATAATTATGATTTAAATGTAAATTTTTTTTGTTGATTATTTTAAACCATCACTGTTTTCACTACACTTTACTATAAATACATTTTATTATTTGTTCTTATTATATATAGTTATATTAATATTCTTGAAATTTTAATTTTTCAAGTAATATATTTTGTATGAAAAAATATTAATACAATTATACTTAATAAATAACAAATATATTTGCCTATGTTTGGGAAGTGGATTTTGTGTTTTTTTTTGAGTAAAATAGTCATAAAAATCAAAAAATGGTTTTTTAGTTTAATAAAATAAAACATCACATCAAATTCATAATCATTATATTATTTCTCTAAAAAAAATAAAAAAATAAAAAAAACCAAAAGCATTTCCCAAACCAAATTTTTTAACTTCAGGCTAAAATAACAAAAAAAAGTTAAAAAGCCAACCCATTTATCAAACGAAACCTTAAAATAAATTAGAATGAAACTAACAATTTTTGTAATCTTTAAATCTCGTTTGGCAAGTGATTTTTTTAGCAAAAAAGTTAATAAGTCACTAAAAAAATTAGAATGCCAACGACTCATATAAAAAAGTCAAAGATTTTATTTTATATCTACTTTTTACACACATTTTCATAAAAAATTAAAAAAATTACTTTAAACATATTAAGTTTTTTACATTATATTTTAACAAAAAAATTCAAAAATTATTAAAATAATCTGTTATCAAACAAGGTCTTAACTTACTTTATCTTTATTAATTATTTTAGTAAAATAAAAAAACCATATTCCAAACACCCGTAGAGAGGACTACAAAGTGCTCGGCAGCTGGAGAAAAGAAGTTCGACATTTAACGCAGTGACGACATTTCACCAAAAAAAAAAAAGCGTTTCTCTCTCATCTCTTCAGCAAAAGAATCGGTGAACGGAAAGCCAGCAGAGACAGAGAGATTGAGTCGAGTATAAATAATATATATATGTCTGTCTAGAACCAGCGCTTTCCTGTAACATCTTCTCTTTCTTTTCCATTGTTTTCCCGTGCAATTTCGGATCTAATAACCATTCCTAAAATGGCACTGCGTTTCCTCACACTGTCGTAAAATTTTCCCTTGCTTTCTACAATCCCTGCTTTGTTAGATTTTCTCGGCAACCAATCATGCTTTCGCTGCAGAACGATCCTCGCCAACACCAACAGCAGCAACAATTCCAGCACCGGGAGCCTCAGATGCAGGTTTCTAGGGTTCCGTACAATGGCGATCAGCGTGATGAGTCCTTTGTTTTGCATTCCGAGTCTTCCTCGGCTTCCTCGAATCTCAATCTCTCGCAGCCGTTGGATCCCCGCGAAGGTTAAAATTTCCCCCTTTTTTTTTTGTTGTTGATGTTTTGGGTTTAGGGTTTCACTCACGTTCTGTATGTATGTATGTATGTATGTACGTATATGCGTGTGATGTGTTAAAAGATTGTGACTTTATTTGGAGAATTGTTCTTTTTTTTGGTTTGGGATTTGTTGGGTTTGCATAATTGATTACTCGAAAGGATGAAGGTTAAGACATACACTGTTGATCCCACTACTTTGTTTAATTATTCAACCTTGTTTTGATGGTTTTTGTTTATCAGTCAGATGACAAGTTGTTTTGTAAGTTTCGTAAAGGCTGCTAAATTTAATTACTTGCTATTTTTGTTGTTGTTAACTCCTTGGTTAGTTGAGACTGTGTATCTGATCTGCTTTTAATCGGACAAATCAAAGACAAGCTGGATTCCTTGTGAAAATTGGCTAAACATTGAGTTGAAAAGAGAGTTTTTCAAATTCCCTGTGCACCTTGTAGGGTTAAGTTATTGTTGTGATCTTGTTTCCTTACACAAAACCAGTTACATATATGGTAAAATTTAAGTTACATATTAATTTACACAAATTTAAAATTCTCTAATTTGCTAAAGAAATTTAAATTTTCATATATTGTATCACATACTGTATACATATAACTTAAGGTATGTATCGATTTCTCTCTAAAAATATTGAATCGTAAGATATGTATCCTGAATCGTAATATATAAATTTGTTGTCTTGAAGTGTTGACTTATTCCTACCAAGGAAAAGAAGTCGAGAATTGATGGAGAATGACCACACTCTCCTTTAAACAACAATGGTCTTATGTAGTTAATTGCTGAGATTTTTATTTTATTTTATTTTTTCTTGACACAGTTGATGAGGACATGCTCTTGGCCCTTGCTCATCAGAATTACAAAGCTGGGAACTATAAGCAGGCATTGGAACATAGTGATGTTGTTTATGAAAGGAATCCACGGCGTACTGATAACCTACTTCTTTTGGGTGCTATTTATTATCAGGTTAGTATACCATTATTACATGTGTATAATTTGTTATTTCTACTTTTCTCCCTCTGGTTGACTGAGATTTATTTTTTGGGAGGATAATTAGTTGATTGTGCTGTCCATATGCACCTGAACGTGGTGGTATTATTATTATTTTTTTTGTAGTTGCATGATTTTGATATGTGTGTTGCGAAGAATGAAGCAGCTCTTAGAATTGACCCACATTTTGCTGAGTGCTATGGCAACATGGCAAATGCTTGGAAGGTAAGATATAAGCCTCTTTGGTGGCTGCAATTGTCGTTTTGGTGAGCTTATCAGGATCTAATATTTTTCATGTGTGTTCTTTTTACTTGCAGGAAAAAGGAAACATTGATTTGGCGATCCAATATTATTTGATTGCCATTGAGGTTTGTAGAAATTTGTCAACTTGGTTGTCTGGGTTCAACTATTTTAAGAGAACAAAAAACTCAATCAGTGTGTTTGGTTTGAGTTTTTTGAATTAAGTTTTTTGAAAACTGAGTTTTTTGGTTTTCGTATTTTTTTGTTTTTAGTGAATATTTTTAAATTTTTAAACATTTTTTTACTTTTTTAGATGCACCTTACTTAGATGTATCTAAAAAATAAAAAATTTGTAAAAACTATTTTTAAAAATTAATAAATACATAAAAATACAAAAAATGTACTAAATTCTATTTTTTTTTGTTTTTTTGTATTTTTGGTATTTAGTGAATTTTTAAAAGGTTTTTATTTTTCATTTTTTTTTTGCTTTTTAGGTATATTTATGTTAGGTATGTCTAAAAATTAAAAAAATTGCTCAAAATATTAAAAAAATTCAGTAAAAACAAAAAAACACGGAAAATAAGAAAGTAAAATTTTCTAGAAAGTGTTTTTAAAAAATGATAACCAAGCTTGTCTTTATCCACATACCTCCAAATTGCAAATAGTGTTTTCCACATATTCCAACATTCAAAAAATAGTTTTTGATGCCTTTCTTTTTATATTTTTTATAAAATTTTTATTATTAATAATTAAAAAAAAAGAAGAAAAAGTTTTGCTTTCACTTAGGAACTTTTGTTGATACAATTTACGGCTATGAAGCATGGACACGAGACATAGCAATTTTCAAAAAATAGGGACACGGACACGGACACGGCGGGGGACACGGCAAATTTTATTTTATTCATTTTATATATTTTTATGTGTTATGTAGATTCATATTACATTTATCCTAAATTAAAATTAACAAACACTAACATAGTAACATTAATTGAATAAACATAACCATTACATTTAAACAAATTAATAGATCATCCATTCACAAAAAAATCACAAAAAAGTCATAATAAACGATAACAAGAACTAAGACGAGAAGGGGAAAACATTTAACATTCAACAATATTTTTCACAAAAGCACTAAATAAGAGAGGCAAAAGATTAAATAAATAATAAAAAAAAGCCTTGCTGCGTCCCATGCCGTGGCCCCATATGGACACACGTATCCCCGCCGTGTCCCCTACAAAAAAATCATTAAATTAAAGGGACACGCCATCTGGCGTGTTCCGTATGTGTCCCCGAGTCGGACACCGCCACGGCACTCATTTTGGAGTGTCCATGCTTCATAGATTTACGGTGACACTACGACCTTGTTTGGAAAGTGGGTTGGGCTAAAATAGCCCACTAAAAGACAAAATAGAAGAACAACCATCAAATCAGCTACATAAAAAAGCCAACCAATTTCCCAAACACAACTTTTTTAACCAGACTAAAATAGCCAAAAACCCAAATAGCCAACTTCCCAAACAAGGCCTACATTGCATTCAAATATGATACTTGTGACCATAGAGATTTGGGTGGTGTAACACAAATGAAACTGAACAACGAACTCTAAATTTCTTGAATTGTTTAACAAGTTTTTTTTTTTTGGGTTGAATAATTGTTAACAAGTTCAAGAAGCTGCTAAGAGTATTTTTGAGATTAAGTAATATTCAATAGGCAACTAATGCACAATGTAGAAGAACATTGTCCACATTGAAAAAGAGTAAGATCAAACTCTACATTGATTAAGATATTAAAAGAATACATGGTCACTTGGGTTTAATTGATGCTTTAGCCCTTAATGGAATGAAATGGAAAATAGGATCACATATGCAACCTCAAATATCTGGTAAGACAATGAATCATTGAGGAAATTTTTAGTTAAAGATATATGTAAATTTTTTTGTCTAGGTAAGCTCCTTGCCTAAAGGACAATCATCAATTCATGATTCATAAAAGTAGGGTTTCAATTAAAAATAGAGACTTAAGTTTGATTCCTCTTATCTATCTATCAAAAATAAAAGTATGATTTTGATTAACAATTTGCTGTATGTTCAGATTTTCCCTTGGTAAGTGTCTTTGTAACTGCATGTGTGATAGACTTTTCTGGTAATATTTTTTTACTGCAGCTTCGACCAAATTTTGCTGATGCATGGTCTAATTTAGCTAGTGCATATATGCGGAAAGGAAGACTTAATGAGGCAGCTCGGTGTTGTCGCCAGGCTCTTTCATTAAACCCTCATTTGGTAGATTCTTATACAATTTTCAGTATGTTGTGTAGTTGAAACTTCTGATTTTAACTGTTGGATCCTATCCATTGTTGTAGGTTGATGCGCACAGTAACCTCGGGAATCTGATGAAAGCCCAAGGTTTAGTGCAAGAGGTGAAAAATTATCCTTTATGCCTTGCATGGTGTTAGTTGTTGTGTAAAATTGTGCGCTAAGGGGATGAAATATGTGGGATACCTTTTCATTACTTTGTTGATCAGTTTTGGAGTACATGACTGGATGCGACTACAGTTGTCCTGTCAGAAAAGGTCATGGCTGGGAGTATTTTGTCTGAAACAGACTTAATAGGCCTACCTGGGGCCCTTAACTTCTTAGCTTTATTTCTGCAGTCATGATGTTGACTGGAAGAATTGTGCAAGTGAAATCCCATATTTGGATTCGCATTTATTATTTTGGTTTCGCTCTGACTACTTTCACTGATATTTCAGATTGATTAACTTCTTTTACTTCTATGCTTAAATGGATTGAGTTATGTTTTCTAGGCATATAATTGCTACGTTGAGGCTCTCCGTATACAACCAAATTTTGCTATAGCATGGTCCAACCTTGCTGGCCTTTTCATGGAAGCAGGTGACCTTAATAGGTCTCTTCAGTATTACAAGGTAAGAAATAGTGGGTTTATATTATTTACGCTGGTTCGTCTGGGATTTAGTTTTTAAATTCATGCACCCTCATTCATGAAGGCTTGCTGAATATAGTATTGTTTAATTGTAATTGACCAAGTGTGCTTGTTTCCAGGAAGCAGTTAAGCTTAAACCGGCATTTCCAGATGCCTATCTGAACCTGGGAAGTGTTTACAAGGTAAGGTCTTATGTACTGTGCTAGTAAGGTCGGGTAGCTGCAAATGCCAGGACAAGAATCTGGAGAACAAGTATTTCTTTTGCATTTTCCAGGCTTTGGGAATGCCTCAAGAGGCCATTGCGTGTTATCAGCGTGCTCTTCAATCGCGTCCAGACTATGCTATGGCTTATGGTGAGCATTATTATCTATATTATACATTTTTGTGAACATTTATGGACATGTGGTCCTTTTTAATTAAATTTATCCATGTACCACATTAGTGTTTGTCCAGTGGAACTTGTGCTCCTAATTTTGAACCAATGGTGATTCTTATGGATGTGTTCCTACTTATAATTGCGTTAGGCAGATCTTAAGCAAGTTGACCTTGGGAAAGATAATGTCAATTAATTGGTGATTGTATCTTTAAGGGCATAATAGACAAATATGAAAGATCCAAATCCATGGCCTTAAGTAGTTCTAATTAGCTGTAGTTCTAAATGTATGAATGATTGATCAGTGTATGGCTGTATACTAATCACTTGAAATTTAATTCTATGGAACTGAAAGCACATAACTTAGTTCTTTACTTGTATTGAAAGTGCATAATATAGCAAGTATTTTGAGTGGATTTGTGATTTCTTATCTCAGACTATAATGCCTTGCTGCAAAACAAATTGTGCAGGTAATTTGGCTAGTATATATTATGAGCAAGGGAAACTGGATATGGCGATACTCCACTATAAGCGAGCCATTGCTTGTGATGCTGCATTCTTGGAGGCATACAATAATTTGGTTGGCCCTCTGTATCTTTTTCTGCTGGATTCTTTCTTACAGTCAAGTAAATTTTCTTAAATTTTGATTTTTTTTTTTTTTTGGTTTTGTTTTGGCAAGGGCAATGCACTGAAAGATGCTGGAAGGGTCGAGGAGGCGATTCCCTGCTACCATGTAAGTTTTATTTTACTGAAATGCTATTTTTTTTTTGTGTCTTCACCACTATCTGATCAGGGTTCTTTGTTCTGCGAAGCAATGTCTGGCTTTGCAACCCAGCCATCCACAAGCACTTACTAACCTTGGAAATATATACATGGAATGGTATGGTTTTTTTTTCCTTCAAGATATTGAGTTTCTTTTCATTTTGTATTTTTTCTTTGTCTGAGCAATGGAGGTGCGTACGGAGTTCCCCATAAAAATGCAAGTGGTTTCCAAGGAAGAGTTGTTCTGATCTTGCAGGAATATGATGACTGCTGCTGCACAATTTTATAAGGCAACATTATCTGTAACAACAGGACTTTCTGCCCCTTTCAACAACTTAGCGATAATCTACAAACAACAGGTAGTAGCAGTTTTGATCATCTCTCTCTCTCTCTCTCTTCCATTGTCCACCCCTACCCTTTGCACACAAATTTTGAAGGTGCTTGGATTTCAATATTAGCACAAAAAGTATGAACAGTGTACTTATACAGTGACAAGGATCAAAAAGGCATTGGAGTGTTTGTCTAAGATTTTATTTCTTAGTTTTTGTTTCCTCATTGGATTAGTTTGATTTGCCTATATATATGTGGCTCTCATGTAATGGCTTATCAGACTTGATTTGATGCTATTGATTGGGATTGTGCTCCATTGTCTCTATTCTCTCTCTTTTTCTCTACTACTTAAATCTTCTTGTATTCTTCTTTGCCATGCTGCTTTCTCGTGCTGCATGATTCGGAAAATAAAAAGTGATGCTGTTATTTTCTTTGGAAGGCATCATGATATTTCACATTTTCATTGCCCAGGTTTTGTGTTGCATTATGACTTGTTTTCTTGTTTTTCCCTTTTTTGATCACAATGCAGGGTAATTACGCAGATTCTATATCTTGCTATAATGAAGTTCTCCGCATCGATCCGTTGGCAGCTGATGGACTTGTCAATAGGGGAAACACATACAAGGAGATTGGTAGGGTCAATGAAGCAATTCAAGACTACTTGCGTGCTATTGCCATTCGGCCAACCATGGCTGAAGCTCATGCAAATCTGGCATCAGCTTACAAGGATAGGTACACATTGTTTGTTGAGTGTTATGGGTACACTTATGCTGGACTTTGCCTTTGGTTTATGCATATAAATCTTTCATTTTTCAATTCTTGAATTTGGATCATTTGTAGTGGACATGTCGACGCAGCTATAAAAAGTTATAAGCAAGCATTGGTTTTGCGCCCTGATTTTCCAGAAGCAACTTGTAATCTTCTACACACATTACAGGTATGTCTTGATATGAAACATTAATTTGCAACGCCATCTTGATGTTTCTGTTCTATCTAGTATATAAACCTAGAGATGGGATTACATAGAAGGCACTTATCCAATGGATAAGGAAAGAGTATTTCATGCAATCTCTTCAAGCTATAGTTAATGTGGCTCTCAAAGTTGCACTGTCAAATGTAATGTATTGGCTTCTCACCCCTGGCCTGTTCTCATATAAGAACATGTCCGTTTGGGACAAAAACATTAATGTTACATGCTTTTGAAGCATACTTGTGTGGTCACATGTGATGTCTGTTATAGTTATCACCCTTTCACTTTTTTCCTGTTTTAATTATTTGTGAATTATCCAATATCACTATCTCCTTAAAATTTATATTTTATTTTGTGAGTTGTTTCTTTCACCTCTCTATTATCAGGTTAGTTACCCTATCACATAAACTTGCACAAAAATGGGGAGACATTTTGAGGTTTTATGGTTCATCAAATGGTTAAAATATAATCTATATTTGTCAAGGGTGGTTTTTCTAGAAACATGAAACTTGACATGACTTTAAAAAAGTTGACACCTAAAGAATGTGTAACAATACTGATTTCTCTTTGACGAGGTGGTGTTTGTTTCTACTGCATGCAAGTTCTTGAGGATTATTATGGTGATGTTATGTACTAATTGGGCATTGTTTTTATGAATACAAACAAAAAGTGCAAACAAAAAATGCAAGGTAGTGTTTGGTTTGCTTTTCAAATCATGATTTGGATGAAACATGTTAACCAAACATATTTTTAAAATACAACGCAAAATTACTTTCAAAACTCCCCTCTCCTCTTATTTATTTTTTATATTACCTATCAATCAATCATTTTTTCTCTCATCTCTCCTCTCACATTCTATACATCAATCAAAAAAAAAAAAAAAAAAAAATTACAGATCATCCCAAAACTATTTTCAAAACTCATAACTAAACAAATATTTTCTTTTCAAATCATGATTCAAAAACTCAAAACACAGCTCCACACTCAAATCATTATTCTAAAACTAAACCAAATGGATCCCAATGTTGTCATTGTTCTTTACTTTAAAATCCTAATCTAGGAAATCACACCCTTAGATCAAGCCTGATATTTAAATACATTTAATTTCATCAGAACATTCAGTTTATCATTTTTGAGAAACTACTCTTGTAATAGTAATTGTTATTGCAACTAAACTCTCCTGTCTTCTTTTCCTTTGAAATGTTCATTTCTTCTCTCGGGGAGTTCTTGATGTTTGGATTCCACTATTTTGTCCTTCAAAATCATATTTTTCTTTTGTTGAAAATTTAGACTCCTGTATTTCTGAAGCTTTATTTAATTTGGAAGACCAAAGTGCTCCCCTTGAGTTAATTTTTTGGTTTGGTTTGGTTTGGTTTGGTTTGGTTGGTTTCTTACAAGAGATTTAATTCCAATGAGGTGCTTCAAGTAAAGAGACCTCAGTCTTAATTGGCTATACTAAATATGAGTCAAATTCCCAGAATAACACTTGTTTGTAGAGTTTTTTTTCGCACTCTTCCTCAGTAGGTATTTTTGTGTATCTCTATAGTGATGGCTTCCTTTTTGGTCCCTTGTGAGTTAAGATGATTTGATAATGGCTTTGGTTGAGAGAGTTCATGGTGGGACTGTAAGCAATGGCGGCCACATGAGGAGGAAGGTGGTTACGGGAGGAGAAGCATTGGGTTGAGGGAGGAGCATAAGTGGCAGAGGGAGAGAAGCAATGATTGTCTGATGATAGAGTCTCTTCTTTGCGAAATCTCGTTATTCTCAGCGACAATTGGAGGTGTTGGTATGGTTGATCATGGTGAGGCGCTGGTGAATCAAAAGGTCTATGGTTTTCGAGGTGATGATGGTTCAAAGGGGGAAGCTGTTTTGGGGGTTTGATGGCAACAAGAGGTAGTTTGGGCTGGGTTATTTTGGGCCATCATGTGCTGGAAAAGGCAATTAGCTTTCTGTTGGGGTAGCCAAGGCCATATACTTTCAGAGGTGAAGGAATTTAAATGGACTGTTGGGCCAACAATAAGGTCATGGGCTTGAGGAGGTTTTGGTGGAAAGACTATTATTAAGCCAATTAATTCTTTCTGTTAATTTTGTGGTTTCTGTTAACTAAGAAATTTTGGTCGGGTTTTGCTAATGGTGGGAAAATATATTCAGGAATTAGGTGGGGATGCCCTTTGTTGATTGTGTTTAATTTGATTTCTTAGTATTATTGTATTTTTTTCTGATGACTACTTTTTGTGTTTGTTTTCGGGAAACTCTATTTTGTCGGTGAAACACCTGACCACCGTGTGTTGTTAGTATTTATATATTTTTTTGTAGCAAATTAATGACATATGGTATACAGTAGTAGGAAGGGAAAGACCTATATAATTTTTTGAACGGTTGTACATTTTTTTTTTTTGTCTTTTGTGTTGTTTTGTTTTCTCTGTTTGTCTTTTTATTAGTGTGGTGCTTTTATTAAATCTGTTTCTGTGAATTAATCTCGCGATGAAGATTTGCAATTAATGACATAAATTCTTGAGATTGTTGAAAATATTCTACTGCAGTTAAATATGTTGTTATTTGGACACATTTATCTTCATGCCATGCATCATGTATGTGGACAGCTGTCTTGAAAGCAGTTGAACTGTCGTATTCTCATTTAATTTTTATGTTGATTCTGTGTACTACTTGGGCCAATATGTTTTACCAATTTGTAGGTTGCATGATTATTTGAATGTTGAGATTTATCTTGCTGAAACTTAACTTTTTTCCATTTTGATTTTGTGTTTAGTGTGTTTGTGATTGGGATGTGCGCGATAAGATGTTCATTGAAGTTGAAGGGATACTTCGGAGGCAGATAAAGGTTTCAGTGTATCTGTTTTATTTATTCTCCTTTTAAAAGATGATATCTAATATTGTTTGTTGTTATTATTGTTTACTGACTGGTAATATTTAATACCTCTTTTCAGATGTCTGTTATTCCAAGTGTGCAGCCATTCCATGCCATAGCCTATCCCCTTGATCCAGTGCTTGCATTGGAAATTAGGTGATTATCAAGTTTGGTAGTTATGACATTAAGAGTGACTTTTATATAATATCTTAGTTGTTTCCTTTGTTCCTGTAGTCGTAAATATGCTTCACATTGCTCTGTGATTGCTGCCCGTTACTCACTTCCTTCATTCAATCATCCTTCACCATTACCCATAAGAGGCGGGGGTAGGAATGGCCGGTTAAGGATTGGGTAAATTTTTGAAACCCTATTTTTTCACTTATAATTTTAATTACTGAATGAAAATTAAGAACTTATGTTAACTGTTTCCTTGTTTCAGATATGTCAGCAGTGACTTCGGTAACCATCCGTTATCACATCTTATGGGCTCAGTATTTGGCATGCATAATAGAGAAAATGTGGAGGTTTGCAAATTCAGACTGGTTTTCTCTTGAAGCTATTATTCTACTTAAAAACTTTAAAATCTGTCACTTTGGTGTTTTATGCACACAGGAAGTAACAAAATGTGTTGTAGGTGTTCTGCTATGCTTTGAGTCCAAATGATGGCACTGAGTGGAGGCTACGTATCCAGTCAGAGGCAGAGCACTTTGTAGATGTGTCTTCTATGTCATCTGATATGATTGCTAGGATGATTAATGATGATCAAATACAAATCCTTGTGAACCTTAATGGTTATACCAAGGTATTTTATTATGTCCTAATTTGTCTGTTTGTTTTGTTTTTGTTTTGCTGGGGTAACAATTTGCCTATCTTATTATGTAGTAATTATTCAGTTTTTTTGCATTATATTTAATTTGGTTAAAGTAAATCATGAGTTTGTTTTTGACCCACTGTATTTCTCAGTTTAAATGTTGGATTAGCTTTTGTGTGAACAAATTTTGTCATGGTTCTTGTGTTCTGCCTCTTACCAAAATATATATATATATATATATTTTGGGGTTACAAATCGTTGTGTTCTGCCCCTTATCCAAATTATGGATTAATCTTGTGGCACTCATTTGTTAATTGTGCAGGGGGCTAGAAATGAAATATTTGCCATGCAGCCTGCTCCTATCCAGGTTTCATACATGGGATTTCCTGGAACAACAGGAGCATCTTACATACATTATTTGGTCACTGACGAGGTTAGAAATTGAAAATTTGTATATTATGATAATTACATCCTCAACTTGGATCTTTAATTATCAGTTTGATAATTATATCCGCAACTTGGATCTCTAATTATCAATTTGATAATTTTGTGGCAGTTTGTTTCACCTACATGTTTATCAAACATTTACTCTGAGAAGCTTGTCCATCTGCCGCATTGTTACTTCGTAAATGATTATAAGCAGGTTAATATTTGAACCCTCAAACCTGTTTTATTTTGTGAAACGAGTTTTAATTTTATGGCAAACTCATTATTTCATACGACTGTTACCAGAAAAATCGCGATATATTGGATCCAAGCTGCACTCCCAAGCGTTCAGATTATGGATTGCCAGAGGACAAATTTATATTTGCTTGTTTCAATCAGCTGTACAAGATGGACCCTGAAATTTTCGTAACTTGGTAATCTCTGAGTGAGTCTTGTTACTAGTTCATGTACTATCTGGCTCAATACTAAATCAATTCCGCTTAAAACTGCATCAGGTGCAATATACTCAAGCGTGTGCCCAATAGTGCACTTTGGCTTCTCAGATTTCCAGCAGCAGGCGAGATGAGACTTCGGACATGTATGTGATGTATTTTATGGTGTTACATATACATTATTTAAACGTGTGGTTGACTTTCTTTTTCCCTTGATAACCCAAATTCACGCTTTTAATTTTCTTATTAGTTTATATTTGTCATTTTTTCCCCTGTTTCTGATATAGAAGTTGAAATTATCTAAAATGGTGTCATTTTGTCCAGATGCTGCTGCAGAGGGGGTGCAACCAGAGCAAATTATTTTCACAGATGTTGCCATGAAAAACGAACATATCAGACGGAGTTCTTTGGCAGATCTATTCCTTGACACGTATTTAAACAATACCTGTTTGCCAATTTCTAGATTGTCAAACCTGCAGTTTATTGATTGCCTACAATGTGCAAAGCTGTCTACTGCTTTGAGTTTAGTGATTATACCCATCACTTCCGTAATTTCTTTTGTTTTGTAGGCCATTATGCAATGCCCACACAACGGGCACAGATATACTTTGGGCTGGTCTGCCTATGGTGACCCTTCCCCTCGAGAAAATGGCAACTAGAGTCGCTGGTTCACTTTGTGTGGCCACTGGAGTTGGGGAGGAGATGATTGTCAACAGGTATGTATTTTGAGTGCATTGAAAAATACGAGTTTTTGCTCAACTGGCTTAGAATGTAAATGTATAGTTATGATCACTTATAGTGTGACAATGGGTCACACTGTAGTGTGAGCCCTTCCTGCCCTAGCATTAGAGTTTGGGCTGTCTCCCTCTATCTCTGGTGGTGATGGATCTACCTTTTAAACAAATTTCATTTGCGGACTCTCTCTGGTTTGCTGTTGATTGCTAACTTCTTGTTTTTGGTATATAATGAAGCATGAAAGAGTATGAAGAGAAGGCAGTATCTTTGGCACTAAATCGCTCAAAGCTTCAGGATCTTACCTACAGACTCAAAGCAGTCCGTTTGACTTGCCCTCTATTTGATACGACACGTTGGGTGAGTTAACAAATATTTTGTAATTGCTTTGTGAGTTTTAAGCATTTGATACCTTTTTTGTGTTGGGCAATGGAGTATACAAATTCGTGCAGTGGCATCTTTCAACTGTTTACTTATTATGCTCAGCATTAGCTCAATGCGTTAGCAGTATCCTAAATGTCGTCTTACCTATGGTTTACTCATCATTTGCTCGTGTTGATCCTACTATATCCAAAATGTATTCAGATTTGGGAACGGTTATAACATTGTGTTGTATCCAGGTGAGGAATCTTGAGCGAGCATATTTCAAGATGTGGAATTTGTATTGCTCTGGCCAACATCCGCAGCCCTTTAAAGTGACGGAGAATGATTCAGAATATCCATATGATGGATAGAAAAGTAAATAAGAGAGATGGGAATGTAGATATAAGCAAAAAGAGAATGTAAAGTGGTTACTTGTAAGGTTATATTGGTTGATTTGGGAGAGATGTTATTGTCCTTTGGGTAGTACTTTCTGTGTGGGCAGCATATGCATATGCACATATGCAGCTGTTAGTTGAATTTACTCACTTTGATTACTTGCAACAAAGTAATTTGTGGAGAATGCAATTTGCATTGCAAATGACTAAGCATGCAATTCTCTTTACATGCCTTGCAACTCAATTCTCTTTACATGCCTTGCATTACGCACTTTCGTTGTTCTACCTCTGTTGGATCTTTCGTTAACGCAGATGATTGAACCCTTGCAAAGAAGCACACGCATGAAACAGATTAGAGGATAGTTGTCTCTCTCTCTCTCACTGTGCACATGCACGCTGCATGATTTTTTTGGTTCTAAAATGACACTCAATAGTTGTTGATTGTGTCTTCAACATTTAGACACGTTTCTATTTTTAGATTTTTTTAAGTTCCCTGGATTGAAGATTTTGTTGATAACAGAAAGAAATAGTGAGAAATTGCCGTCGCTGTTTGGGTGGCTGCAGATGTGATAAACTCTGAAAAATGAGAATAATTAGTTATAAAAAGAAGAAATCTTTTAAAATCTAGATATTCAAATTTAATTTTTGATTCCAATTCTTTTAAACTGACTCTAGATTTAAAAGCGTAGCGGGAGTAAAATTTGAGTTTAAAAAAAAAATTGAGCCATATATTTATTCTCTCTTATGTTTTTGCTTATCCAAACACAGAACTAAAAAGCACAATCATTATTTTTCTGTTAAAGAAGAAAATTTTGTTGAAATTGAAACAGAAAAAGCAGCAAAGAAAATGTTCCAACTCGTTTCAAATAATTTAGTCATCCAAAAGGTACACCAAGTCTTAGGCCTCGTTTGGGAACAGGTTAATTTAGTAATTTTTTAGCTATTTGGTTAAAATATGAGCTAAAAAAAACTAGTATGTTTGTGATGATTTTTTAGCTTTTACAAAAAGATGTGTAAAAAGTAGAGAGAAAAGAGAATCTTTGACTTTTTGGTATGGGTTGTTAGTTTTTTGACTAATTTAATAATTTTTTGACTTTTTAATTAAAAAGGAGGGTTTCCAAACGAAACTTAGTTTTATGAGTGTAAAAAATGATAATGAAGGTTGAATTTTTAGTTCTCACTTTTCTGGTTTTTTTTTTTGGGGGTCTTTTCCTTCATCAATATGTGATCCAAATAAACAGAATCGTAAAACATCACAACACTGTTTCTCATAAAGCTTAATAATTGCCCATAGTAACGTAAGAATCGGAGTAATCATAAGCTACATTCATTTTTATTATTCATTCCGTCCCAATTTTTTGTCTTAGAAAATCTAATTTATTAAGATGACATGTAATTATTATATTGTAATTATTATATTTTAATTAGTAGTATTACATACATCAATTAATATACTAACATATGTTATGATATTATTATTGACTCCACTTATTATACAAATTATAAATATCCAAAACATGTAGAACTATGTCACATTATTTATTAGTATACTACTTGATATGCCAATTAATGCATATAGTATTATTTTATTTTAATTCAAATTTTGAAATGTTTTTTCTACTACTACCCTTTTATTTTAATTTTAAAATATGTTTATAATGATTTATAAGAGATAATTTTAAAAATATAATAAAATTTAGTCTCTTAAAATAAAAAAAAAAATATTTCAGAACAGATTAAAATAAAAAGATAAATCAATAAAATAAGACGAAAGGAATATATATTGTTGTTTTTGTCACAACTGCACCACAGAGCTCCCACCCACTTGCACACCGTCACAAGCATACACCCAAAAACAAAAATCAAAATCATAAAACAGAGAGAGAGAGAAACTAGGGATGGCAACGGGGTTAACGGGGGGTGAATATTAATTTTTCATTTCTATTCCTTTATAATAAATTTTTTTCATTCTCTATTTTTCATTCTCTATGGGTATCACTCTGTCTATTTTTTAATAGGTTTGGATTTTCTCCAACCCATTTTAATTCTTATTTTTATTTTATTTTTATTTTTATTTTTTATATTTAATGTTAACAATCACTTTTTTTTTTTTAAGGTTCACAACAAAAACTAAATATGCCTTCAATCTTTTTTCTTTCTTTTTTAATATATTTAATGTTAACAACTTTTTTGTTTTTTTTTTGGCTAAATATACCTTCAATATTTTTTCTTTCTTTTTTAATATATTTAATGTTAACAACTTATTTTTTTTGTTTTGTTTTTTTTTTTTTAAGGTTCACAACAAAAGCTAAATATACCTTCAATCTTTTTTCTTTCTTTTTTAATATATTTAATGTTAACAACTTATTTTTTTTATTTTTTTTAAGGCTCACAACAAAAGCTAAATATATATTCAATCTTATTTTATTTTATTTGGTTCAACAACAAAATCAAATACACATTAATTAATTAATTAAAAAGTTTGTTTTATAATAATCAAATATATAATTTTGAGAAAATCAAATAAGTTTTAGTAATTAAAAAAAATGTGAAAAAACATGGAAAATTAAAAAAAAAATTACAACCATCTCTCTCTCACTCTCACTCTCACTCTCACTCTCACTCTCTCTTCTACATGTTATAAGAACCTGTTTACAATGTTATAAGAGCCTGTTTGAAGAAATAAAATGTGAAAGAACCTGTTTGAAGAAAGTGTTATAAGACCCATATTAAATTGCATCAGGGCATAAACAAGGAATCTAATTATACCTTTTAACAAATCTGAACCATTCATTTTAAGATATCTATGCCTTACCACACCCAATCCATCCTCCATCTTCTTCCTTTAGTCCCCTAGGAATTTTGTTGTTTGTTACTTTTAAAAAACAAAAAATGTTTTTTCAATTAAATTTTTACTAATTTCACAACACTATCACCACTATTCTCACCTTCAGTATCACGCTACCATCACCATAGCCACTACCATCATCATTGCGGCCATCACCCCACCACTATGTCACAATCTTTACTTTCACCTTCGTTCCATCACCACCACCACCAAATATAAAAAAACATATTTTTAATTTTTTTTATAAAAAATATTTTTCATTAAAAAATATTTTCTATCTAAATAAATGAAGCATAACATTGGGAAACAAGCTGATTTCAGTTAAATCTGTTCATAACTAAGAAAAATTCTTTTAATTTAAAAAAAATTATTTAATATGACTTTGTATCCCCTTTTTGTTTTTCTAGCAAATAAATCTATGTACCCATCATTACGACTCATGCTTGTTTCGATTCTCTACAATTTCCTTATTTTCAAATACATTCATATATATATATATATATATATATATATATGTTGTATAAATTGTGTGATAATATAAAACAAATAGATTCATACTCGTTAATTGAAATTTCAGAACAAGCAAACAATTCTGAAAATTACAATACATAACAAAATAAAATAACATAGAAAAACAAATCGAAACCTGCACTAGACAGTGTCCTTAATTTTTTTAAATAAATTAAAAAAATTCTAGATATGCATAAAATTTGACAAGAATAATGTCACAATATTAATTAATGTGTATTTGATTTTATTGTTGAGCCAAATAAAATAAAATAAGATTGAATTTATATTTAACTTTGGTTGTGAATGTTAAAAAAAAAAATGGTTGTGAACCTTAAAAAATAAAAAAAATAAAAAATAAAAATAAAAAAGATTAAATGTATATTTAGCTTTGGTTGTGAATCTTAAAAATTTTAAAAAAAAAATGGTTGTGAACCTTAAAAATAAAAAAAAAGATTGGAGATATATTTAGTTTTGGTAGTCGATCTTAAAAAAAAAAAAATTGGTTGTGAACCTGAATAAATAAATAAATAAATAAATAAAAGAAAAAAGATTGAACGTATATTTAGTTTTGGTTGTGAATCTTAAAAAAGAAAAAAAAAAGGGAAAATTAGTGGGTACCCATCCCCAACCCATCCCCTGTGAATATTTAAAGAATATCACATACCCTACCCAATGGATAAGAAAAAATGGGAAAAACCCATGTATTTGGATTAGGTCTCCATAGATACCCACAGAGCGAGAGTGGTGTTTGGACACGTAAGTAGGAGGGGGTGTATGAGGTGGCAACACGAGCGGCGTGCTACGTCTTAGCAAAACAGTAATAATAGAGACTCCACAAAATACAACTCCACAACTCTTAAAATGATTTCAATCATTATGCCATTGTCAGACATTTTGTGGGATCTCAACTCCTTTGTGGGGTCTAAACATTTTCTTTAGCAAAATGAAGGACTCTTTCTCTCTGATTGAGATATATATATATATATATATATATAGAGAGAGAGAGAGGCATGGCTTCCATTTTGTCTTTTTTCCATTTTTGCTCTTCTCATTTTAAAAAAAATAAAATAAATTACAAATTAGTTGAAAATTCACAAAATATTTACAAACTCATAAAAAATTTATAATTTTAATTATTAACGTTGATAATATTTATCACTAATTTGATTTTTTTTTTTGAAAATCTATACTGAATTATAATTTTTTTGAAAGGATATTTTGGACTAATTTGCATAAATTAGACTAAATCCCTATACTCAGAACAAATTTTTCAAAACAAAGTTTAAACTTTACGATCAGTCACCCTATAATCCAAAGAATTTTGTTGATAAAAGAAATCAAACATGAGACCTTCGAAGGAGCAAAACTCCTAATCTTAGGTCTCATCTATATTAGATCTTTTGTTCTCCTCAACTTTGATTTTTAACTTATAATTATTAATTTTTTGAGCTTATCTAAAAACGGTAGTGTAAAATTGGCTATGATCATTGTTTTTGTCAATTTTGTGTTCGTTTGGGATGCTCCATTGGGGCTAAAATAGTCATAAAAATAAAATAGGCTATTTTAGCCAAATAGGACAAAATGTCACATCTAATCCATAATTATTATTTTTTTTTTACAAAAGTAAAAAAAGTCAAAAAGCCTATCCCGAACAAAACTTTTTAGTCCCAGACTAAAATAACCAAAAATTCAAAAAGGCAACCCACATCCCAAACAAGCTTTGTTGTTTTTGATCTACAAATTTACAAATGGGAATTTATAATGGATTTATTATAGAGAAAATTATAATGTATTTATCTTTCTTTATAGAAAAAATGTAGTGTCAACATTATACAAAAAAGAAGTTGTGGCAAATTTGATTCTGTCAAATCTTATATCAAATTAAGTAAAAAAACTAGGAATTTACATGTCAT